ATAATATGTGCCCTGACTGGGGAGTCGAACCCCACAGCATTGGCATATTGGGACAACACTCCAATCAACTGAGCTACCTGGCGAGGAAGACTTCTTCTTTCTTCTTCTTCTCCTTCTTCTTCTTCTTCTTCTTCTTCTTCTTCTTCTTCTTCTTCTTCTTCTTCTTCTTCTTCTTTTTTTAAACCAAGACAGATCTTTAAAAATTATCTGAGCCAAAAGGGGGAGCTTTAAAAGAAAAATTGTCCCAGTACTATAGGATCTAATTTATATGTGGAATTAAAAAAAAACAAAAACCACACAAATAAATGAACAAACAAAACAGAAACAGACTCTAGATGCTGTGAATAAACTGATGATTGCCAGATAGGAAGAGGTTGGGGGGCTGGGAGAAATAGGATTAAGAAGTACAAATTTGCTGAAACCGGTTTGGCTCAATGGATAGAGCGTCGGCTTGGGAAAAAGGGTCCCGGGTTCGATTCTGGTCAAGGGCATGTACCTTGGTTGTGGGCATATCCCCAGTAGGGAGTGTGCAAGAGGCAGCTGATCAATGTTTCTCTCTCATCGATGTTTCTAACTCTCTATCTCTCTCCCTTCCTCTCTGTAACAAAACAAACAAACAAACAAAAAGAAATACAAATTTGCAGTTACAAAATAGTCATGGGGATGTAAAGTACAGTTTAGGGAATATAGTCAATAATACTGTAATATTATTATATGATGCCAGGTTTGTACTAGATTTATCTGGGGAGGGGGGTTACTTTGTAAATGATATAAATGTCTAACCACTATGCTGTGTACCTGAAATAATATTGAATGCCAGCTGTAATTGTGCCAGGGTTCTTGTTCCAGCATTAAGAAGGGTTCAGCAATCTGGAGAAAGGCTTGTGTAGATTAAGTAAGAGTCCAGAGACAAAATATAATTTTGAAAGGCATTGGGGGTCAGAGGAGCTTCAGCTAAAGGAGTTAAAGATTCTCCTAGTCTCAGGACCCTTGCTTTTTAACACAATTTGTCCTAAGGCAAGGTGGAGATAATACACTTCAAAGGGTAGGGTTTACAGAAGCATTGTCAGATTGGGGAATAGCCTACAACTGTTCAGGTGTTTGGCCAATAGGAGGCAATAACATGTAGATTAAGATGCCCTGAGCTGTCTGGCAGCAATCATCCTATTCAGGTTTGGGGGGAGTGCCTTTTAGGTAATTACATATGTGACTCAGCCCTTGTTGAACCCTCAAGTTTCATCCACCTTTTGATAAAACTCTTGTAATTATGACATGTTGGAATTGGCTTCTGGCATAATTGAAAATTTAAGGAAAATAAAAGAAAGAAAAATTGCCCCAAATCTGATCAGGGCAGAACTTTTTCCTTTTTAAATGATTTAATTCACAACTTTCTTCTGAAAATAAATTATGATTTCTGGTTAAAATGCTTAGAAATTTTCTGATAAACTTAAAAGGATTAAGACACACCCAACTGACATTAGTCAAGAGTCTTAGTGACGTTTTAATCAAACATTCTTTAAAAAAAAAATCTAGTCTAATAGGTATTATTTAGCCATTTAAATAAGAGTGAATTTTTAAAGTGAGACTACCAGAGGCCTCCCCTCACAGCAGGTTTGTAATAAAACTTTGACAATGAAATCGTCCTAACTGAATTGTCTGAAGTGTTTGCTTTAATACAGGGGCCAACTATATGCCACCTCTGTTCCCGCAAAGAATGTTGACTTGCATGTGAAAGGTGGAAGCAACAAAATCCAGACAAAGTAACATACAATGCTGACTTACCAACTCGTTGGACATTCCTCACACACATTGAGCAATGCCTCTTCAAGATGAGGCTATTCAGAGTGCTGTTTATGGGAATGACTAAGCTTCAATACCTCACATAATTAAAGGGAAAGGCTGAGAGACTTTGGTTTTATTCTGCTGTTGGACTTTGATTTATTCAGGGACTGAAGAAGATGTTTGGTTATACTGTAACCAGAAGCAAGGGGTCAAAGACATAGGAAGTAATAAGTGTTCTGAAGAAGGGCCAATGACAGAGGAAGTCTCAGATGCTATATAGATGAGATGAAAGGATGGCCTTTCATGGAGAAGTACATACTTCACTTCACGTGTCACACTAGCTTCTGCCCAAACTTCTAATACTTTGCAAAAGTTCCCAAAATGCTCCCATCAAAATATGCATCTGTTGAAAAAGCATTGTGTAAAGATGGCTTCTCATTGGATGCCCATCCTTCCTCTCAACCATCCTAATGCAGACAGAGGCTTCAGTCAGTGCTTATGCACCAATAATTTTGGACTTAATTGCCCTACTTTTTAAAAAATTCCCTCACTAATTCTACTATATATTTTCTCCTCAGGATTTAATATAAAAATGGACCCTTAGAAGAAATATGCAATTCTATTGATACCATATAATCTAACATTTAGGTTTTGTTTTGCCATCTTTGTGTGTGTGTGTGTGTGTGTGTGTGTGTGTGTGTGTTTAAATATATTTTTTATTGATTTCAGAGAGGAAGAAAGAGGGAGAGAGATAGAAACATCCATTATGAGAGAGAATCATGGATCAGCTGCCTCCTGCAAGTCCCCCACTGGGGATCGAGCCCACAACCTGGGCATGTGCCCTGATGGGGAATCGAACCATGACCTCCTGGTTTATAGGTTGACACTCAACCACCGAGCCAAGCTAGCCAGGCCATACACAACATTTAACTGGTGTGAAAGGGTTCCCTGACAAGATGACATATAAGCTGAATCTGGAAGAATTATGAAGTGGCAGATATTAGACTAACAGGGACAAACCAAAAACCCTTTCCACTCCACACCACTGTCCTCCACATTCCAGGCTGTGGGACAAGGGACTGGAGATGGCAGGGAAGGAGATTCTAAGGTAGAACTGATTTGTCCAGAGTGATATGTGAAACTATGAGGAAGGGAGAACTTGGTGATGTGCTCACCTCTCTGTGCATATGTTTCCTTCATGGCACCTGTCAACAGCACTCACCATTACATGATCTTCATGAGGCCGAGGCAGTGTCTGATTTTCATCGCTAGCAGAATGCCTGGCACAGAATCATAGTTATTGGATAAGCAATAGCAGAGAGAACTAGATTAAAAGGAAGGATAAAAAGAAAGAAAGAAAGAAACAGGGAGAAGGGTGGGAAACCTGGGGTGAGGCAGGCTCCCCAGGAATCTCCTCCAAGGCAGACAGGGAGAATCCTGCCAAGGGATCACTTGGGGACCCACACTGGAGTGACTGTCCAGCTCTCAGCCTTGCTCTCCTGACTACCTGATGGGCATGTGATTTGAGCTGGTCATCCGTGGCACCTTGCCCTTGGCTGAGGCAACTGATCCAAAACATGGGCCCATGACCCAGGTCAGGACAACTGGAGCCCTTTGCCAGGAATTGCCAAACTGGAGTTGAGAAAAGTGACCCTTGTCCTCCAGCTATAAAGGTGGCTTCCTATAGCCTGGTCCAGCTTCCTGGAGATGGTAGCCTCTGGGAATGAGCCTGATACCCAGTTAGAAGCAGGGAGAGAGCTAGAGAGAGAAGAGCTGGGGATCTTCAGGCTTCTGGTTCCAGTTCTCCCCAAGGTCAGCTCCACTCTACTCTTCCCAGTTATATGAGCCAATGGTTACCTTTTTGAATTGCTTTGTTGCAATTAGTGTTGAGTTCCTCTCTCTTGAAATCTATCCATTGCCTTTCTCTCCAAAATTTATCCTGAATCTGACCACTTCTCACTATTTTCACAGCCACACCCTGGTCCAAACCACCATTATCTCTTGCCTGGCTGAATGCAACACCTTCCCAATAGGTCTCCCTACTCCTGTCCACCCAGCAGGCCAGTGATCTTACATAAATGTCAATCAGAGCATGTCACTCCCCTGCCTACACCCTCTGGTGGTGTCTCTTTACATCCAAACGCCTTATCCTGGTTTACAAGGCCCTGCAAAGGCCTGCCTCAGTCTACCCTCCAGCTTTACTCTATGCCACATCCCTCATCGCCTGCTTCATCCCTGGTGCCCTTAGCGCCCTCCTTTTTGTTTCTCAAACTCATCGCACCATTATCTCTTCAGTGCCTTTGCACCTGCTGTCCCAGGTCCTGGTCCTTCAGTTTTTAGTGTAGGAATATAGCAATCCTAGCTCTCCTACCCCAACTCTTTCCATACCATTTTGTTGTTTAATTTATTCACATACATTTTCTCTAGCTGGGATTATTTTATTTAAGTTTTGGCTAACTTTTTTGTTGTCTGTCTATCCCTCCTAGAGTGTGAACTACAGGAGAATGGGGTCCTTGCCTGTCTTGTTTACCATATCATCTGTGTAATAGGAATTCAAATAATATTTATTGAATGAAGAATGAATGAATGAATGAGTGAGTGAGTTACAAAATAATGAGTTGCCAGAGTTCCAGGCAGGCCCCTAGGTTTCCTGTTGGGTCTCCTTTCCTCTGCACCATGCTGTTGTCCACACTGTTGACCTATGCTTAACTCCTGGGAACTGGTTCCTGTCACTTGACCTCACTCAACTTCTATGACCTCATTTGTGAAATGGGAACTCTGCTCCTTACCAAGCCAACCCCAAGGATTGTTGAAGGTGCAAGGAGCCAGTGGGTGTAAAAGCCAGAGCCCACCGATGATCAGAATTGAACGGGTCTGGCCTGGGGTGGGGAGCATCTCACTCCTGCTTCCCTCCAACCTCTCCTCACTCTGTGCTGTTTGGCCTGACCCGCTTCCTCCCTTCTGTGCCGCTCACACAGCCTCACTCACTTGCCTTGCCTTCCCACTCCTTGCCCTCCCAAGGTCTTATTTCACAGCTCCTTGTGAGGAATTCCTATACGGCCCTGGCCTTCACCGTGAGAAAGGACAGGCTATCAAAGGCCAAGCTTGGCTCCCTGCTCTGTGGTTAAATATTGATAACACCGGGATACAGAGGCCTGAGAGAACACACCACGTATCCCCCTGCAGTGCAGGAACCCCCAGCCTGGGGGTCCTCTAAGCCATTCCTCGGGGCTGGCAAGAGGGTCATGCTGTTTTCTCTTTACTTGAGGCCACCCTATAAGAAAGTGAGCAGTGGGCTGCTAGTTCTTTAAGCAATTAAAATCGGGTGGAGCCTGCTTGTCATCCGAGGCCACTCATTCAAGAGGTCAGTCACCCCAGCGTAGCAAAAGACTCCAGGCCTGGGCGTGTGCTGAGAGCAGAGCTCCCAGATGGGCTGGGCTCCAAAGACTCTGCACTCATCCGGTGACAGCCGTGTGGAGAGCTCAAGTGCAAAGACCGTCCCACGCTTCTGTGAGAGGAGGAGGAGGAAGACACAGCAAACAGTGCTGCTCCCCAAAGCAGACCAAGGCCGGCCCAGGAGCCCAGGACCAGGGTGAGTGTCTCCAGCCTGCCGTGGGAGTGAGTGAGCAGGGTCTCCAGTAGGAATCACAGGCCGATGGCAGGTGGTTAAGCTCTGTTTAAAGTGCGGGAATCTCCCAGAGGGGCCCAAGGAGACAGGACAACTATTAATAAACACAATGTGATATCCTAGGTGAGATCCAGGAACAAGAAAAGATATTCATAGAAAAATAAAATCCGAATAACTCATGAAATATGGGTTAATTTTTTTAAAAGCTGGGAGAGTAATATGATGCTCACTCTAGAAGGAAACTGAGGAAGTGTTCTGAGGGGAAACGGGTCTTTGTTTCTGGGGCATCTAAACACAGCCCAGAGGGCTGACTCTCAGTTCTGGACTCGAGTCCGACTTGTTATTTTGCTTGTTGGTGTTTATTATAATAATATCACCATATTTAAGACACACATTCCACTGTGTGTGTCTTATCAGATTGGCTCCGACACCACACTGTCCTGATCCCCGCAGTTTTACAGGAAGGCTTGAAGTAGTGTCAGTCCTCTGACTTGGTTACACCATGTAACTCCAGAATCATTTTGTGGATACCCATAAAATAACTCGCTGGGATTTTTATTGGAATTGTATCGAATCCATCGGTCAAGTTGGGAATAACTGACATCTTAATTAGTTTTATTAATTAAACACCCAAAATTGGAATTGTCTCAAAAGTTATAAATACTATATATATATATATATATATATATATATATATATATATATAAATAGATATATATATATACATATACACATATATATATATATATATTCAAATATAGAAAATATATTTAAGATATATATTAAGCCCTACCTGGTTTGGCTAAGTGGATAGAGTGTCGGCCTACAGACTGAAAGGTCCCAGGTTCGATTCCGGTCAGGGGCATGAACCTTGGTTGTGGGCACATTTCCAGTAGGGGGTGTGCAGGAGGCAGCTGATCGATAGTTCTCTCTCATTGATGTTTCTAGCTCTCTCTCCCTCTCCCTTCCTCTCTGTAAAAAATTAATAAAATATATTAAAAAAAAGAAAAAAAGATATACATTAAAATACATATAATTCCATGTATTGTTTTCATGAAGGTGGTGTGTACTCATGAGAAGTGTATATGACACAGAAGTTCTCAAAGTGTTCCCAGGCGTCTAGGCCCCATCCCACCTTCCCAGAGGGAGTCGGTGTTTGCTTTCTGGACCTTCACCCTCTTCTCGGTGGGTGTGGGGAGGTCTGCATAGGCAGCAGAGGCCTTTGGGCGATGTTACTAATTAATCCAGGCACTCCTGCATCTGAGATTGGACAGAAAGTCACAACCTTTCTCAGCAAGTGCTCTGGACAGACAGTTGGAACTGGAAACAAGATCACAACGATTAGCCATCCCTGAAACTTTGTCTCTTCATTATTCAATATATATACATACAGCCCCAGCTTTGTAGGAAGGTCATTTGGCAGTCCAGTCTAATTAGCATATTATGCTTTTATTATTATAGCTACCCCCCAAAAGGATAAGTGGGTAAATGCCTGAGTCCTCAGAAGTCTAAACAGGTCCTTTTTCTCCCCCTGCATTCCATCTCCGCCTTGACATGTGAATGTTATTTCACATGTGAAAATATTTCCCCTCAAAAACCTGTAGATGTTTCTTGTTTTCTCGGAGCCTCTGGGGCCTGATGTTAAGTCCTTATTTTAGCACTGTGTCTGTCTGTCTGCCATCAGTTGTCTCTCACGTTCCTGGCTGGGCCTCCAAGGCACTTCGGAAGGCAGTGGAGTGGGGGGACTGGAGGCAGCCTGGGCCTCTTTTGTTGTTGTTAGCCCCATGGCGTGTTTCTATGGTTTCTTCAAAAACCCATCTCTTACTTTTTTAGTTCCTTCTATCTCCCTTCTTGTTCCCTTTTTCCTTTTCCCCCAGAGAGAACTATTCTAATGTGTTTAATGTGTCTTTTTTTAAACTGTTTTTTTAATGTGTTGTTTTGTGTGCATATATTTTGTATTTCCATAAACAGTATGGCATGTCCTCTGTGATCCTTAGGGATAACTTTTTAGAAATATTAAAAAAATATATATATTTTATTGATTTTTCACAGTGAGGAAGGGAGAGAGATGGAGAGCTAGAAACATCAATGAGAGATACATCGACCAGCCGCCTCCTGCACAACCCCCACTGGGAATGTGCCCACAACCAATGTACATGCCCTTGACCGGAATCGAACTCAGGACCTTTCGGTCTTTTTTTTTTTTTTTTTTTTTTTTAATAAGTTTTTATTGTTCATATTATTACAAATGTTCCTTTCCCCCCCCCACCATTGCTCTCCTCCACCAGGTTCCCACCCCGCCCTCTGCCCTTTCCCCTCTCCCCATTGTCCTCATCCATAGGTGCACAGTTTATGTTCAGTCTCTTCCCACACCCCCCTCTCCCCTTTACCCCAAGAATCGTCAGTTCACTCCCCTTCCATACCTCTGATTCTATTATATTCAACAGTTAATATTGTTCATCAGATTTTTTTAATTTCCTTGGTTTTTAGATTCACTTGTTGATAGTTATGTATTTGTTGTTCATAATTTTTATCTTTGTTTACTTTCTCTTCTGAAAGAACCCCCTTCAGCAATTCATATAATTCTGGTTTGGTGGTGATGAACTCCTTTAGCTTTTTTTTATTAGTGAAGCTCTTTATCTGGCCTTCGATTCTGAGTGATAGCTTTGCTGGGTAGATTATTTTTGGCTGTAGGTTCTTGCTATTCATCACCTTGAATATTTCTTGCCATTCCCTTCTGGCCTGCATGGTTTCTGTTGAGAAGTCAGCTGACAATCGTATAGGTGCTCCTTTGTAGGTTACTACCTTCTTTGCTCTTGCTTCTTTTAATATTCTCTCTTTGTCTTTTGCTCTTGGAATTTTAATAATGATGTGTCTCGGTGTGGTCCTCTTTGGATTCCTTTTGTTTGGAGTTCTGTGCGCTTCCTGGACTTGTAAGTCTAATTCTTTCACCAGGTAGGGGAAATTTTCTGTCACTATTTCTTTCAGTATGTTTTCGATATCTTGCTCTCTCTCATCTTCTGGGACCCCCATAATTCTGATGTTGGTTCGCTTGAAGTTGTCCCAGAGGTTTCTTACATTATCTTCAATTTTCTGGATTCTCTTGCCTTCTAGCTTCTGTGGAGGAGTGTCTTCTGGTTCTTTATGTTCCAAATCTTTGACTTGATTCTTGCGATCTTCCCTTCTGTTTTTAGGACTCAGTAAAATATTTTTTATTTCAGACAATGTATTCTTTATTTCTTGTTGATCCCTTATCATTTCTTGTTGACTCCTTATTAATTCTAGTTGATCTCTTTTCATATCCTCATAGGCCTTATCCATCTTTTCTAGGAAATTCTTGAAAAACCTTATAAGCGTAGATTTGAACTCTATATCCAGACGCTTTTTGTCCTCCATTTCTTTTGTTTGTGATCTATTTTGTTGTCGCATTTCGCAGTTACAGATGGGACGGGGTTTCAGGGTGGAGCCTGCAGCTTTGGCTTGTCAGCCCCGCCCTATGCGGGTCCTTCAGTGCTCGCTGCTGCCGGCGCCTCTGAGAGAAAGGTGCCCTCGATTTTCGCCTGCTGCCAAACAGTCTATGCTCTCCCACAATGAGCCCGGTATTGGGGTTCAGTTCAGTTGGAAGTGGAGTTGGAGGTGGCGTTCAGAGCAGTCTGGAGCCCCAGTCTCCTTCCCGTCAGGGCAATCTCGCGGCACAGCCGATCGTCCCTTCTCTGTGCGCAGTGTGCGCGCCTCCGGGACCTCCTTTCGCCTCTCCCTGGGGTTCCACCTTACAGCCCGGCTCCCTATGGCTGAGCCTGAGTCCCCGGGGTCTGGCCCAGAACCGGGTTCACAGCAGTTGGGGGCCCAGCACAGTCGGAGCTTTTCTCTCCTTTCCGCTAGGGAACGCCCGCCAGGCACTCCGCCTCCCTCCTCTCCGGCTCCGTCCTCTCCGCGCGCCGCGTCTCCGTACCTTGGGCTTTTCCAGCTCCTCCGCGCCTCCTTCTGGTTTTCTCCTTGCTTCTCGCTGTAGAATTTCCAGTCAGTCAACCTTCCTGTAGTTCTGGGCAATGTCCGTTTTATATTTTAGTTGTATTTTATTGAAATTGTTGTGTGCGGCTGCGGCTAGGTGTTCACCTGGGCGCAGCCATCTTGGATCCTCCGAACTCAGGACCTTTCGGTCTTCAGGCCGACGCTCTATCCACTGAGCCAAAGCCGTTTCGGCGACTTTTTTTTAGAAATATTTTTTTTATTAATTTCAGAGAAGAAGGGAGAAGGAGAGATAGAAACATCTGTGATAAGAATCTCTTGCATGCCCCCCACCGGGGACCGAGTCCAAAACCCAGGCTTGTGTCCTGACTGGGAGCAGAGCTGTGATATCCTGGTTCATAGGTCAACGCTCAACCACTGAGCCATGCTGGCCGAGCATTAGGGATACACTTTTTTATATATTACACACTCAGGAGCAGAGTGGCTGTGCACACTTACTGTGACTAATTTGCTCTCTAGATGGATACACTGCCCCTCTCAGTGCATGAGGCTATAACCTAGAACATGGCCGGCAAACTGCGGCTGGCGAGCCTCATGTGGCTTGTGAGCCATGGTTTGCCGCTCTGTTGACTAATGAGTTTGTCAACACATGACATGATTCACCTTTCCAACTATGATGATCTGATGGATGTCGACTGGTATTTCTTTCTTTTTTAAAATATATTTTATTGAGTTTTTACAGAGAGGAAGAGAGAGGGATAGAAAGCTAGAGACATCGAGATGAGAGAAACATCCATCAGCTGCCTCCTGCACACCCCCACTAGGGATGTGCCTGCAACCAAGGCACATGCCCTTGAACCCAGGACCCTTCAGTCCAAAGGACGACACTCTATCCACTGAGCCAAACCGGTTTCAGCTGGTATTTCATTTTTAATTTTCATCCTTCTGATTACCATAGTTTGAGCACTTTTTCATATGCTTGCTAGCCTTTGGGGTTTCCTATGTTGTAAATTGCAGTTTAGATCCTTTACCCATTCATTAGGGCTCCTGTCTTTTTCTTGTTAATGTGCTAGAATTCTTTGTGTAGCCTAGATCTCAGTCTCTTCCTGGTGTTAAGCATTGCAAGTATCCCCAATCAGAAAGGTGTTAGTTACTTTATTGATCGTATTCTTCAGTGAACAGATAATCTTATTTTTGATATAATCAAATTCATCAGTTTTTTTTGGTTATTATTGAATAATTTGAGCTTTATGATTTTGTTTAAAAAGTTTTACCCCGCCGGGATCGGTTTGGCTCAGTGGATAGAGCGTCGGCCTGCAGACTGAAAAGTCCCGGGTTCGATTCCGGTCAAGGGCATGTACCTTGGTTGCGGGCACATCTCCAGTGGAGGGTGTGCAAGAGGCAGCTGGTCGATGTTTCTCTCTCATCGACGTTTCTAACTCTCTGTCCCTCTCAATTCCTCTCTGTGTAAAATCAATAAAATATATTAAAAAAAAAGTTTTACCCCGTTTCTATTAACTTTATATTCCCCCCTCTTACATTTAGCCTTTAATGTGGCGTCTGTTTGTGTATGTACTGTTAGGTGTACATCCAGTCTTCCTTTTTTCCACACAGTGAGCCAGTTCCCGGCACCTACTAAACGACTCCTCCTTTCCCCACCTATCAGTGGAACGTCCTTTATTATACATCAAGTTCCCATGTGTGCATAGGTCTCCACGAAATTTCTGTTCTGATCCCTTGATATAGTGATGTGGCCTTATGTCAACATCCAAAATTGGAATTGCTTATGATTTTTTATTACTAGGTTTCAATGTCTGACTTAGTAAACATAGATTGCTTAACTTGCTTTGTTTTTCGAGAATAGAAACAGGCTGAAATTATGAAAGGATGTAGCCAGGGAGCATGGACTCAGTTTCTTGCACGACAAACGACAGAAAACAATTCTTATAACATGTCCTCCCCTCCTTCCCCCAAAAAAGAAGTTATCAGGGGGCTGCTGAACCGAGAGCGGCCCTGGGCAGTCAGGCTTAGGGGTGGCAGCGAAGAAAGCGAGCTGCCTGCTCTCAGCAGCAACAGCTGACAGCTACTCTTTTCTGGTACTTTCTCTTCTCACCTCTGGTCACAGGCATGCCAATCTCCAGATTAGAGACTGTGATAGGCCCAACCTTTGCTATGTGGGTCTGTGACTGGCTACCACATGAAAATCAAAGGCAAGGGATGGGAAAGTTTGCTAAGGAACCAGGGTAAAGGGAGCTGTGGCTATAGAAGCTAGATGGGGATGCTGAGCAGGCAAAAATGGACAATGTCCCCTGCAAGGATCCCACAGCCCAGCAGTGGCGTAGTCCTTCTCACTCCAAGTCAGTGCTCTTCCCCATGTGTGATGAGTTTTAATAAAGACTTGAGTGATGCAGGGAACCAATTCTAGCATGTAATAATTATAAGAGTTTCATCAAAAGGTTAGTGAAGCTAGGGGGGCTCAACAAGGGCTGAGCCACGTATGTAGTTTACCTGTTGAAACGGCTAAACAGCACTTCCCCTAAACCTGAATAGGATCACTGTTTGCTACCAAACAGCTCAGGGCATCTTAAATCTACATGTTATTGCCTCCTGTTGGCCAAACACCTGAACACCTGTAGGCTATTCTCCAAACTGACAATGCTTCTGTAAACTGTACCCTTTGAAGTGTATGTCTCCACCTTGCCTTAGGACAAATTGTGTTAATAAATAGCACAGGGTCCTTAGACCAAGTGTAGTCTTTATTTCCTTTAGCTGAAGATCCTCTGACCCCCAGTGCCTTTCAAAATTATCTTTCATCCTTGGACTCTTTAATCATCTATGCGCAGCTCCTTTCTCCAGATTGCTGAACCCTTTGTAAAGCTTGGACAAGAACCCTGGCAGAGTGACTCTCAAGTCTGTGGTCTCTGCCTCTCCAGGCCCCACCTCTCTGGGTCAGCCTGTTCTGGTCCTGTAACTTGGAGTGAGAGGAGAATTGGGTTTGGCAGGAGGGGAGCTCATGGTGGGGTCAGCTATGGGTCATGCTTTCTGCTTTGTTTCCAGGATCTGCAGGGCTTTGCTCAGGGGCCAGCACCTACGAGGCCAAAAGGGCAGCTGAGGGGCCAAAGGGGCCTAAGGACTTCGTTGCCAGAAATGTACCCCAACCAGGAGCAGGGCGTGCCCCATGGCGAGGGGGTTCCCCAAGCACCAGCAGGCACTGTGGTGCCTCCGGAGCTGCTGGAAGAAATGCTTTGGTTTTTTCGGGTAGAAGATGGTAAGTGGCAGGGAATTGGTGTGTGGGGTGTGTCCTCTCAACACAAAACATAAACTGGATTCTGGTTGAAGCCCTGGACATGGTCCCTTCCTCCACAGCAGGCTGCACATTTGCTTCAAAGCAGCTGAGGGGTCTCAGTGCCCAGGAGGGTGTAGTTAAACCTCATGGTCCTTCTTTTGGGGCTTGGTCATTCATTTACTCACCGTCCAATCAGTCACAAATATTTAAGTTCCTTCTGTGCGCCAGGCACTGCTTTCAGCGCTGAATAAAACCAAACTCTGCCTTCACAAAGCATATGTTTTCGTGAAAGAGAGAGAAAATAAACAGGATAAACAATCAAAACGTATAGTGGGGCAGTGGCATTTTGTTAAATGCTCTGGATGATTCCAGGACTGAGAAAAAATAAGGGGGGAAATTAAGCAGAGAAAGGGAATAGGAATGGGTAGCAAAGGGTAGGTAGTGTGGTCACTCAGAAGGTGACATTTGAATGAAGGCATTAGGAGGTGAAGGACTTAGTTATGTGGGGGAAGACCATTCCTGGTAGAGGGAACAGCCGATGCCAAAGCTCCGAGGCTGGATCCTGCCTCAGGTTAGTACAGTGTGGCCAGATCTCGGCTATCCAGATTCAGATTAGCCATTTTATGTATTATCTGTGGGCAGTTCTTGGATCCATTTTAACTGCCACCCTTTTTTCCTTCCTTCCCTCCTTTCCTCCCTCCATCCCTCCCTCTCTTCTTGTCCCCTCCTTTTCTTCCTTCCTTCCTTTCCTGGCACTGCCCAATGCCTCAGTCTGAAGATTGTGAAGTTTATCTTGACTCACCCACCCCCACCCCACTACCACCCAACTGCAGTGCTGGCCTTGGGCTGCTCCAAGGCAGAGATCTTACCCCCCCCCCCCCCCCACACACACACACACTGGAGTTCTCGCAGGGTGGAGGGCTCCTCTTCACCTACAACACTTGATCCACAGCAGGGACCATGGATGCTGTGAGCTGTGTCTGAGCCCAAACCTCAAATATCAGGGGGCTTAAGGGGCACCCCAGCCTCTGCTCAAGTCTCTGCTCTCTGTGTCCCCCCAGCATCTCCTTGGAATATTTCCATCTTTGCCCTGGTGGGTGTGGTGGTCGTGATAAGCATGGTCCTCCTGGGAAGGAGCATCAAGGCGAACAGGTGAGGAGATGGTCGGGGGGAGGGGCGGGCTCTGGAAGGTGGGGGCCCTGCCCTCCCAAGGGAAACCTGGGGAAGGGTACCGAGGGGCCTTGGCTGTCCACCCTTTGGGACAGTAAAATGCAGCCTTCAGGGTCTTCTGAGAACCCAGAATTTTTGGAAAACTAGGATCTGTCCCCAGTTATCACCTGCTGGCCCTGGCCAGGGAACAGGGCAGGGGCTGGTCTGTCTCAGAGGTCAGGATCTCTGGCTCTGGAGTCACAGGGGCCCCGCTCTGTCACTCTCCAGTGGGGCAGCACACCGAATACCTCCGAACCAGTTATTCCTATGAGTGGTGGCAGCACCCAGTTCTCTGTGGGGAGTGCTCAGTGGGGCTACTGCAGAGGAAGGGATGCTGCCAAGGGGAAAGCCTGCTCCAAGGCCAAAAGCAGGGCTTGGATAGAGCGCTGACAGCAGGTGAGGCTCCGGGGTAATTTTTATAACAACAACACTCCTCACCCTGGATGCACACACACTCACCGGAGCATCAGACGCTCAGAATGCCGGGCCCCCTTCGGAGATTCTGACACATAGGGGTTGGGGAGAGGCCTGGACAGAGGCATGTAGCTACACTCTCTGGATGGCTCCAGGGCTAATGTTTGAGATCCTTGAGGGCAGGTACCACATTTGATTCAACGTGTTTCCCCTAAGCAATTGCCACGATGTGTGGACCTATTAGGAACTCACTCAATGATTGCTTAGCTCATTCATCCCCATTAATTCATTCATGCATTCAGCAATTGCTATATGCCCACCAACATCACATCAGTAACTCTGAAACAATAATGAGACTCTCGCCTTCAAGTCTGTATCATGCTTTGTGATTTTAAAAAGCACCTTCACATTCTCTTATTTGATCCTTAAAAAACTCTGTAAGGCACAGCAGGCACAAGTTATTAATTCCCATTGTACAAAATAAGGTCATTAAGGATGCATGGGAGAATTGGCCTAACTTCCCTGCGCTTCCGTATACACCGTATTTTACATTATCTATGAATCCTCCTCACAGTTCTGCTACCAAGTCAAAAAGAAATAGCCCCATAGTTCACACTGAGAACCAGCCATTATGAACTGCCGTGGCCCCTTCATCACTCACCCTCAGAGAGGGAGATAGGGCTGAGCACTTGCTCTGTGCCAAGCTCTGTCCTGAGCGTGGGAGCCACAACAGCGGCCAAGACAGAGTCGGCCTTGGCCTTATGGAATCTACAGATTGCTGAAGAGGTGGCGGCAGTTCGAAGTGACAGATGGTGACTGTGGGACATACAGAGTATTGTGGGAGCACAGAGCTGGGGTCCGGGGCCTTCGGGGCAAAGAGATGGTAGGCTGGCTGCCGAAGCCTCCAGACCAAGGGGCAGCATGCACCGAACTCCAGGTGGGAGGGAGGGCCAGTGTGGCTGTAGGTGGGGTGGTGAGGAAGGCTGCAGAAAAGGGTGGGGAGAGGGAGAACAAGAGGCGGCAGGACCCAGGGTGTACACACTCTGAGGGCCATCCTAGAGAGTTCAGCTTCTAGCTCATGAGAAGGGCTTTGCACAGGGACGCGAGAGGTTTCTGTTTTAGAAGCTCATTCTGCATGAAGGATGCAGAAGGGCCCAGAGGTGTCGCCTTAAGGGGCTCTGCCTCCCTCATCCTGTCGGGAAGCAGCCCCTCAGCAAGGTCCACTCAGAGCCACGGGAGCAGCAGACATTGAGCTGCACATCCCTCTCCCCCACCCCGGGGCCCAGGCTGAGTCTCTGGGCATCAGCTCCATCCACAATGGGGTCCCTCCTGTAGGGCCAGGAACTGTACCTGGAGTAAAACCCCGGAGAGGGAGGACATTTGGGGGAGTTACTGAAAGGAAGGCAGGCTGGATGCCGGGTGAAGGAGGTGGGCAGTAGGGAGTCACGGAAGGTGCTTGAGCTGGGGGGGTGGGGGGTGATGTGTGCACACCAGGGCTTTGGGGATGTGACTGTGTGTTTCGGTTGGTTTGGGGAAGGAAACGCGGAGAGGCAGAAAGATTGTTTAGGAAATCCCTGCAGTTTGCCGGGGGTGTGGTGTGGGGTGACCGGGACCTGCACTAAGTGCCATGACAGTTCTGGGATCGGGAAAAAATGTGATTTGGTGAACACACAGGACTCAGAGTCAGGAGACTTAAATGCATGTCCCAGGCATGTGCTCCGTAGGAGGAGCACTAGGAGTGGAGCTCGCAGGTGGCAAGGAGGATCCAGCGAGAGGCACGGGCAAGCCCACTCTGCTTCTCTGCTGAAAGGACATCAAAGCCGTCTCCCCACCGGCTCCCAGGACAGCCTCCTGGGTCTTCCCCTCAAGCTCTCTATCGCATCTGGGAAACCCAGGCCTCCCCCAGCCACTCAGGACCCCCAGCTCAGGGGACGCGCACGCCCACCAGTGTTTTCTTCCCCCCAGAAAGCAGAAGACGCTGCCCCGGGAAAAACAACCTCCCGAAGTCTTGACTGAGGCCGGAACCAAAGATGACAACAACCTGAACATCCTCAGGGAGACTTTGCTCTCAGAAAAGCTGACCTTGGCCGAGGCGGACATTGAGTTAAAGGACAGGAGCATGCCACCAGCCTTCCCTCCAGACCCGCAGGAATCCGAGAGCTAGTGAGAGGGCCGGGCAGGGCCCCCGTGCTGTGAGCAGATGAAACCGGAAGAACGGCCATCCAACTACAATTCTGTGATGGGAGGAAAAATAAAACACCCCCGCAAACCCCCTCTTTATTAAAATGCTTCCCAATGTGGGCAGCTGGAATTGCATAGTTTGTTCCCATGGGGGTGGTCCCCACGTTCCTGGCTGGGAGCAAAAGTGCAAAATCCACAGCCAGCCTGCAGGTCAGGAAGCCTGGCCTGTGGTCCAAGGAGGTCCCAGCTCTCTCTGACCTCGGCTTCACCTCTACTCAGCGGGGCTGATTGGGTTAGACCCGCTGTTCCCCATCCACGCTCCTGGAATGGCTGGCAGGGAAAGGAGCGGGATTCTGGCTCAGAGTTCCCTTCCCAGCCCTCCCTCCCATAGGGGCTTCTCCTTCATCTGCTTCTCTGCTGAGGACCCATGAAAGACTGCCTTTGGGCCAGGGGTCCCATGGTACAAGGAGTTAGAACCTAGGGGACGCCCTACCTCTGAGACCCTGCTCTTGCTAACCATGGGACCCCAAGGGAGGTCCTGATCTGTGTCTGAGCCCCAGTGTTGTGGTCTAAGCTGTGGGGGCAACCCCAAGTAATTTATGCAAAAACTTGCTTTTAAGAACCAAAAATGCTTTAGGCTCTATCGTCCAAAAGAAGACCTCGGACACTCAGACCCAGGATGAAGGGTACCAGGTCCTGCTGAACCAGGCTACAAACTGGTCAACTGGTCAGATACTGGTAAACCGTTCCCCAGCGAATGGTGCCTGGATGTCAGACACTGCCAGCCGTGGGCCCCCTGGAATCCCGAGTCCTCGTCACTAGAGAGGGAAACTCTGTTCTGCAGCTTTGATCATTATACTGAGGAGACTGGCCCTGGCTATGGGCGGAGTCCTTCACTTGAGGTGGGAAATTAAGGGGGCCCCCGCCTTCTGGTGGACAATCCTAAGGCTCCCTCACTGGACGCCCACAGCCTCTCCCTCTCCCCGCCTTAAGAGGCCCCGCACGGGAAGAGCCCCTCCTGCGACTTTGCTTCTTGCAGGATGCCCCATAGGTTTACACTAGATGCTGTTTAGAAAAACTGTGGCGTTCGTTGCCTGGGGCTTCTGTGAGATCAGGAGACAACGGAGGACCAGACTCTGGCCCTCCAAACGCTGGGCCCACCCTGCCCTCCAGTCCACCAGGTGGCTCGAGGGCCTCGGCCTGTCCTTCCTGCAGGATGTCCTCGGGCCTCCACTTATCCCGGGCCTCCTGGAGCTGTCCCCCCGGAGTGTCCACCACGGGCCACCTCTGGCATGGCTGGAGCTGGAGCAGGAAAGGGTGATACCACCACGGACACCGCAGTTTCCTCCTGCTTAAGGCTGACTCCAGGCATCTGGGGTGTCCCAGGGGGGCTGTTTTCCTTCAATGGCAGGGAATGTCGTGGTTGCCATGGAAACCAAGGCCCTCGGGATAGGAGCAGCATTCCTGCCCATCCCTCCAGCTCACACACTGAACTGGGTGTCCCGGACACGGCCTGGTGCTGGCGCAGAGGCCAGCCGTCCGCCAGAGGGCGCCGGCTACGGTTCCATCAGAGGGAAAGCCAGTGGCCAGAGGTCAGCCACCTCCCGCAGCCCTGCGGGGCTCGGAGCCTGGGGTCCTCAGAAGATCTTGAAGCCCTTCAGCAGGGTCAGGGTGGGTGCCTTGCGCTTGCTCTGGGCCCGGGAGGACTTCACCGTGACCAGCTTGGCCTGGGCCACGGTGGGCATCTCCTTGAGGCTGGCGGTGGACAGCGTGTTGAAGGTGCAGCTGGCCAGCCCGTGCCGGGCCGTGAGCGGGGCCTGGTGGGGCAGTGCCCTCTCCTCGGAGATGCAGAGGGGCCGGGCCGGGGAGTTCTTCTCCAGCTCCCGCCGCGCCTCCCGCACTGCCTCGTGGAAGACGTGCTGCACGTGCTCAAAGTCCAGGCAGGCCGAGACCTCGAAAAACAGGCACCCAAACCTTCCCGCCAAGGCCGCGCCCTCTGCCTCGGTGACCTGCCTGGAGGGGAAGGAGGGCGAGGTGAGGTCAGGGGCAGGCGTCCACGTCAGGCAGGCCTGGGCCCACCCCAGGCTCCCACCTCCTGGCTCGGCGACTAGGAAGCCGCGAGGTTTAGCTTTCTCACCAGTGAAATGGGACAATGGCCTCTGCCTTTCAGGTTTCGGAGCCAGGGTTCATTTAGCCGGAACAGGGGCTGGGAGCGGGCTAGCTACCCGGGGGAGTAGCAGATAGCTGGAGTGACTGGGGCAGAAAGGGTCAGGGCAGAGCACCTGATCCCGTCCCCACCCAGGGCTGGTGTCCTGTCTACAAGCTCGCTGCTTCCCGAGGAAGAAGCAAGACGATTCGCGTGGAGCGCCTGGCACAGGACTTGGCAGAGTCAGCCCTCTATAAATGGTGGCTGATGTCACCAAAGCCAGAATTTAGGAGCGAGGTTGAGGGTAAGAGAGAAGCTGGCCAAAGGCCCTACCTAGACCCCGCCGGTGGCTGGAGGAAGACAGCCATCCACATCCCTTCCCTCTACTCCCCTGTGGGGCCCTTGGTCAGGACAGGAGCCGCCCTCAGCCCTCCTACACGAAGGCCGTGGTTTGGACTGACGGGTGAGAGACCGCAGCGCCTACAGAGGGTGGAGGGCCAGGGTCACTGGGGATGCCTGTGGTGGGGAGTTTTGTCTGCCTGCCTAGGGGACGGGCAGGAGGGAGAAGGGTGACAACATTCCTGTGGAGTGGGGGGGGGGGGGGGGAGCAGCACCTACTCCCAGCTTCATCCCACCTCCCAGGATGGTGAGATCGACTATTTGCAATTGGGAAGGCCCTGAATGCTGCTGACCTGGTGGCCCTGGGAGCCCAGGTGAGGGGGGGCAGGCTGGTTCTTGGGCGGGGTTGGATGTCCAGGAGAGGGAAGGGACTGGATGTCCCTGGCCGAGCATCAATGGCTGAACCCTCCGGACCGCCTCCCATCACTGAGCTGCCCCATCCACCGCCCCTGAGGACAATGGCGCAGCCCCCGCGATGCGAGGAGACACCAGGGTGGGCGCTGGTGGGAACAGGTTTCGGAGCCAGGGTTCATTTAGCCGGAACAGGGGTTGGGAGCGGGCTAGCTACCCGGGGGAGTAGCAGATAGCTGGAGTGACTGGGACAGAAAGGGTCAGGGCAGAGCACCGGATCCCGTCCCCACCCAGGGCTGGTGTCCTGTCTACAAGCTCGCTGCTTCCCGAGGTGCCCCTGGTGAAGGAACAGTTAGTATTATTTACTTTCATAGTAAACTTGAATCTGAAGCTTGGTCATTGTGGGGCTTGAATAATGAGCGTTCAGGAACAAGAACCCCGTGCCTCCCCCGTGCATGCGTGTGAGTGGGTGATGCAGGCGTGTAACAGCCTTTTCCTCATTGTGTTGGAGCCTGGTGAACATTTTACCGGTGGTTTGGGAGCCGCTGCTCTGAACCACATTTCGCTGCAGGACAGTCATGGGAGGCAGATCAGTGCTCAGCTCCAAGTCAGCTTTACGATGCCCACCAGGTCCTGACCGTCTAAGCTAGGGGCCTGATCGGAGAAGGGAATGGGGATACTGGGACTCGTTCTCAGGGAACGGATGCTGCTTCACTTGAGCTATGTTCTTTGTTATTTGCTCCCAAACCATTTTTAGACAAGCTATTTGGCAAAGAATGGGATCAACAACAGTCTATTTCCCCCCCCCCCCTCATTAGTTTATCTCAATCCAGTCTTCTAGGCTCTGGGGCTCTGTGGTTCATTTTGGCTTTAAGCTCACACAGCTTCCTTTGTGCCCTGAGACGGAACGTCTGGGTCTGAGGGCTTGTCCCCCTTCATGAGGCTGCAACCCCTTTTCCCCCTGCCCGTCTGACCTGCTTTAAACAAAGGGTCCCCTCCTGCTACCACCAGTCAATGCACCGAGGGGCCTCAGGAATCAGGAGCGGCCGTCCGTGAGCAGGGAGGGACCGGGAGCAGGCTGGTAGAAGGTGCCATACCTTGCAGGTGGACTGGCCACTTAGGACGGATGTCAGCACGAATGCCCATGAGACTACTTATCAAGTGCAGGCATCGTAGTTTCAGATGCTTCAGGGCAGACAGGCAACTTAAATGTGTGTGGAGAGAAGAAGAGAGGAGAGGAGAGGAGAGGAGAGGAGAGGAGAGGAGAGGAGAGGAGAGGAGAGGAGAGGAGAGGAGAGGAGAGGAGAGGAGAGGAGAGGAGAGGGGAGGGGAGGAGAGGAGAGGGGAGCCACAGGGAGTGGCGAGGCCTGTGGTCAGTTAGAAAGAGCATGCCCTGCCTCAGCATTCCAGTCCCAGGCCTTCTCAAATACAGTGCCTCCGAGCAACAGATGGCTGCAGTATTCGACAGGAATCTGCTCTCTGGTCCAGTCGGTGACCTCTGATCCAAGTCCAGCCCTTGCTGAGAGAACTGCCCTCAGCACAGCCAGCAGTGGAAGTGAGCCTGGGGGCTGGGCGAGGGTGAGGTGAGAGCCGGTTGCACCAGAGCAGACTCCTTACCCGATAAACCGGAGTCTCCTTCCCTCGAATTGGAACTGGGCACAGCGTGACCAGCCAGCTGCACCGAGTGAGAACAGAAGGTCATACAGACTCAGGCAAGAAAGGGTGAGGCTGAGAGAGACCACAGAGCCCGGAGAGGAAGGAAGGCGTGGCCTCTCTTCTGACTCTCAGGGTCCAGCCCCCATGCTGCCCAGATGCCCCGCCCTTCCTGTCCATGGTTGCCTAGAAGACCACGCCCTCACAACACACCCCTTTCACCCAAGTTCGAGATTCCTGTTCTTAGCAGCCAAATGTTCCTGAAGACGGCTCCCAGACCTCACAGCCCCGGGGCGAGAGCTCGGGAGGTGCGGGGCGCCCGCCGCGCTCACCTGTACTGGGCCATGTCCAGCTTGTTGCCCAGCAGCAGGGCCGGGGGGCTGCGCTGCGTCTCCTTGGCGTGCAGCGCCAGCAGCTCCAGGTAGCGGCCGCTGCCCTCGAAGCTCTGGCGGCTGTCCACGCTGTACACCACCAGGAAGGCGTGGGCCCAGTTCAGGTAGCGCTCGCAGTTCCTGGGGGTGTCCTGGGGCAGAGGAGGGAAGCCCAGGTCAGGGACGGAGGCCTTCACCTG